GATTTTATCGATTTTTTTTGATTTTTTGCAAAGTTTGGCTACGTGGCTGGGAGTTGGCACAGGGGATAATCGAGCATGCTGATTACGAGTAAAATATTAGATTTTGAAATTATCCATTATTCTTATCGATTTTATACTTCTTGCAAAGTTTGGGCTACGGGGCTGGGAGTTGGCAGAGGCGCGTAATCGAGCATGCTGGTTACGAGTACAATATTAGATTTTGAAATCAATTGTTACTTTTATCCATTTTATCGATTTCTTGCAGTGTTTAAGTTACGGGCTGGGAGCTGGCACAAGGGGGAGGGGGTAAGTGAGCATGCTGATTACTAACAGCGGGAATGGGTGATTGGCATATAGAAGTGGGCATAGAGAAAGTTTGTACAGGGATAGGAATGGCACTTTTATCATAGTGTTTTGACAAGACCGGGCGGAGCCGGGTAAGCCAGCTAGTCAATTAATGTTCAGCACTATAATAGTAAGAGGAAACAAGCGGCTCGAGGTCTAGTGCTCAATATTGCAAAAATAATCGGAGGGAGCAAATAAGATTCTTCACACATCAAATGAATGCTATTGCGATTGATATAACTCGCTTTTTGAGTTAGACCCAATAAGACATTAACAACTTTCACATGGAATCAACACAATCACTATGAAAGCTGAGGATATCCGCAGCAGTAAGTAAAAAAAAAGATTCGTTACCCAAAGCCGTTTGGTTCAGAGCTCCTCAGCGTTTCGACATCGCTAAGCTTTCGTTATTGATGTTCTCGTCAAACTGCTTCAAATTAACTTTTGAAAGCAGGAATACGATATTTATGTAACCATTTGAGGTTGGAAGGGTAAGTTTTTTGCACTTACGTGTATAACATTCACGAAATTCCTTCAACTTTAATATAAACGATGTAAACAAGAGGATAAGTGTAGGCAGTACGCAGAATAGGATACAGTATCGCACTGACTCACTTAGATTGTAACATATAACAAAGAGCTTTTAGCTCAGCATTCCTAGATAACTAATGTCCTTATTAAATTTTATTAATTTTGACCTTCAGATTTAGTGGCTCCCACACTTTTGACTTCACCTGCTCGGCCAGAGCGACATTTTTATTGAAAGTGTCACGTTGAGTTATAATCCAATTTGTAATTTATAAATGGTGAGGAAAAAAATTACCGCGGCCCGCATCTATAGTGAATACTTGAGGAAAGAGGTGTGCTATGTAAGTTTGCGTTCTAGGAATTGTAGCAGATTTTTTAGGCAGTTCAACATTCACGGTCAAATGTGATGTGTTCAGCTCCTGTGAACTTACAGCATCACATTGATTCTGGCTAATGAGTGTATCCAAAAACACTCTCAGAAAGTCAAGGCTGTACATTCAATTTTTTATCAAATTACAGCCTATTCTCATGACAGTAAGTTGTATTCCGACAGTCATTCTTGGTTTTGCAAATTAACTACGTGCTTGTTTGAGAATGAAGCAACCTCAATGTTTGCTAGCTTGAAAGTTGTATGATTCCGTATTCCGACTGTCCGGTGTCTTCAAATGGTGTAACCATTCCTATCATCAACAACAAAAATATGAAAACAAGTTGATATGCTTTCTAACTCCAGTAATCAAAAAAATAGTAGTGCAGTTTTATGTTTTTCTTGTTTTTTTCCTTCTTCACCTTGACCAGAGCTGGCAATTGGTGTCAAAGGGATTGAATGTCGAAGTCGACAACCAAACACACTTTGCTCGTCCCTCGCGCTCTTGCCCGTCTCCAATTTCAAGATGGACAGCTTAGTCGTCGCGAAACAGCATGAAAAGGACCAGAAACATAGCGACTTTGCGAGATGGTCCATGGGGAGGAAAGACCAAATATCTGGACTCGAACGTGGCCGTGCGAAACACAAACATGCGCAAAACCAGCTAGGCACGCCTTCCGGTGAAGATGATTCAGATGTGACAAGAATGCGGATTGTTCCTCTTGTTGGCAGTGTAGTCGGACGCGGAATGTTTGAAGCAGACTGCGCAGAAGTAAAAAAATTCTGCTCGTAAATTCGATACCTTACTTTTTGACCAACTACATAATTGCATTCTGTTAGAGTAACCAAGTCTGTAACCAAAACAAAAAACGCATCATGGTGTTTGTCCTTTGCGTGAGGTGTTCCGAAACATTCGTCTTCACGATCTATCAAAAACAGATGAGATGAAGATTTGTAAGCACTTTAATGGCTATTCGACGCAGCTTTTTTTCCTCTTCTGTGCCGTCAAGTTTTTGAACTATTTTTAAGTAAAATACTGCGATAATTGCCAAAATCTCAAGCCCAATTTTTTTCCATGCCCGACTCTGGCAATCGTTACAAAGCTTTCGTTCACAACATATGCAAGAGTTTCGATAACCGGTGGATGGAGTAAGCAAAAGAGATTCTGTATTTTTTGGCTTCTCAAACTAGCTATCCAGTGTTTTTAAAAAAATTTCTTCAATCCTCACTCTTCCAAAGTCGTATCATATACGAACGCATCAAAACTGAGAATTTACTGGAACTTTCAAATTCGAAAATCGGTCATCAACACTAGTTTCAAAAAGCAAATGAGCGTTTACGGCTAAATACTGAATTCTAAAATATCAAGTTTAGCTTTTGGCGCGTTTGAAAACTTACACTTACGTCTATTTCATGAACTAAGAATCGAGAAAAAAGGTGAAACTCATAAAGAAAAAACAAGCCATCGAGTAACTCCTGAGTGCAGTGATGCTGAGCTTTAGCTGCACCGATAGCGGCAGGAAAATGATTTGAGAACCAATCAAAAGACGGCTGAAGGGGCCAAAAAAGTTTGTAGCATCACACTTCGTTTACTCTATCCATGTATAATTCTTGCAGAAGTTCAGAATAAAAAATCGAAAAATTTCCAGATTTGGGCAGAGAAAAAAACATGGATTTGAAACTTTGATGATCATTCTAACGATTAAAAAAGAAAATAGTCAGTGAACATAAACCTTGAAAAGAGTAAGAAAAATCGCGAATAGTTTCTAAATTTTTTAGGCCTATCTTTATACCGAGCGTTTTTATCTCATAATCAGGTTAAGCGGGAGCACTATCGAACGATTTAATGTATAATAGACATAGTATTTTATTTCCCAAAATGAAGGATTCTAAAATCCAAAATTCAACGTCGGACCCTAAATGTCCTTTAAATTTTTGAACGTCGAATCAAAATTTGGAAATAGCATGTTATGAATCCAACAAAAGTGAGAATTTGTTAGACATTCTCGCGACCGGAATTCAGGAAAACTGAGTGCTTCTTTCCAGCTTGTACTGTCGTCATATGGCATTAAAAATGTTCATCCAGGACTTGGAAGTAAACCAGAGTAAAAGGATTTATTGAACAAACCGGACTTTGAGGATTTTAAAAATTTTTGGCGTATAACTGATGATCCGACCTCATGGCAGTGCACACGGATATGTCAAATTGTTTCCGGAAGCTAAGGTCGAATCCCGCCAAACTCTTTTGAAGTCTATCAGAGCAATTCAAACATTTGCGGATTTGCCAAACAAAAAACCGGAAGTGCTTGACAAATGCGGCAAATGTTTCAATGGCTGTAGACCGGCCGACGATTGGGTGCACAAACATTTGCTCGTCACGGTCAGTCTGTGGCAGAACGTCACTTGGCAATAATTTCACCAAGTGTTATCTATCAGCTCATAAAATATCAAAATTACCTCGAGGTTACTATAGGAATACGATATTGAGCGGTTCAATTTCGAATTTGAACGGGTACTTTTTTGAGGAGATATACTGCGATAATTCATTGTTCTATAATTTTTTCCTATAATTATCATACAGCAGCTCAACTGCAGAAGTTAACTCTGCCGCATATGTAGATGCTTATATCCTATCTGTTTTTTCCCCTAGAACGAGCAATTTGCCAAGAAGGTAAATGTGAGAAAATTTTCTTGAACAGTGTTGAGCTTGCGTTTTCCGTTCTGCATGTTATTTATTCTTTGCGGACAAGAGAGAACAATGCCGGAATCATCGCTACATGGGTAAACAACAGGGTGGAAGTGTCGTCGTCAAAAGTCGTTAGGAGAACATCGAAGTGGGTCCACTTCCTCGAATGAAAACTGTTTATTGGTGGATCACTAAATAAAGATCGGTCAGGGCAGCAAATCTTAAACTTGATATTGAATGACTTTTCATTTGTAAGAGGACTGTAGAACTTTGCCATCTAACCAAGCTGTGCGTGACTCTGATCTGTCTTTAAATTTTTCAACAACTTGACTGTATATTTAGTATAAGGCGCTGATCTACTTGTTCATTATATCGTCAGTCCAAAGCAATAACCACAATAACGGTAGTTTTATATTATTGTTACATTTGTATTTTCCAATTATCTAATCCTTGAATCTCATGCTGAGTACCTTCTTTCAATACCGATAAAAATTTACATGGTTCCTCTCACGAATCTTAGATTTTCCAACATTAGACGCAGTGATTGCAGAAGTAAAAATACATGAACCAAGGAATCAAATTATTGCCTGACCACGAGGCTCTTGATATTCCTAAATAGTTAATTTGCTCAATTCTTTTGTGCAATGTTACTTACTCCCCATCATCCCGAATTAATTATTTTCGAATTATCACTGCAATATTCGGAAGAGAATGTGAGCAAGATGAAAAGTTTGTAATGAACCGCTATATGTTTGAACGCTATATGGGCCACATGCTTTTCAAATTTTTTTTTGAAAGTCACTAAAAAAATTAGGACCAAGTTGACCTTAAGTTCTTGCAATGTTCACACAGGCTCACTAATCTTTTGCTTACAATGTAATAGCGAAGAATTACAGTGATTCTACACAGTCCAAGTCGGTCCCGCCCCTGCTTTTCGAGTTTCTCGCACCTTGCGTTCAAAGAGCGGCGAGAAGTTTCATCATTGCAGACAATGAGGCAACCGGTACGCTCCGCCCTTAGCTCTTCCGAATCTATATAACGGCAGCTTGGTGCTCTACGCTCATAGCTTCAGCGATGGTCTCGAAACTATTAATTGTTAGCTTCTGTATTGCTTCTTTAACGATGGCTAAACCTCAGTCAGGTACAAAATTTCCACCCTTTTTGTAGTATTTCATTTTTGTTACAGTGGCTAGTTTTACATTAACGTGTGCGACTAAAGTGCCAAATTTCAAAATTTGAAGTTTTTTAGAGGAAGAAGTAAAAAGCTCTAAGCGACGGCAGTACATTCAACCTATGGCTGGTGCAGCACAGACCCCACGAAACATACAGTTAGCACCTATGCTTGCGCCTATGGCACCTCCTCGTAAGTTTACACCCTCATGCTCTTACAGTATCCTCTACAGTATCCCTTCACTGTTCATAATTGACTTATAGCCATGCCAGTAGCTTCCGCACCTCCTCCGGTGCCAGTAGCTTTCCAACCAGCCGTAGCAGTGGCACCAACGGGGCAATGCCCAGGTGGCCCATCTCTCCCAATTGAATGCGATCCCAAACGCCCATGGCCACAATGCCCACCCCAGTCTTACTGCTATGCTACCAACTCAGTCGATGTCGGACCATATTTCTGCTGCCCCGTCTGTAAGTCTATACACAATTTTATATCGAAATTTCAGTAACCTAAATATTTTATGGAATTTTTTTAAATCAGGGTCCACCTACGGTGCCGCTTGGAGACCAGCTACTCCGTTCTATAACTACGTTCCACCTATGCCAGCTAACTGGCCCGATGTTATGAAAGTTACTGCCAATTGGCCATCTGCCGCTATCGGGCTTCCTGTCAAAGCTAGAAAGGTAGATTTCTCCTCTTTTTCAATATTTTGTGTTTTATACCCTACTCTCAATTAAATATTTTGAGCCCGTCTCCAATCAAGAAGAGACGGAAGGAGAAAGCCAGATAGGATCGTCCATAAACGATTGGCTCGAAAGACAAGCAGCTCTGGTAAGTTAATTCCAACCTCATAACTGATCTAAACTAACTTATAATTTTCAGTAAGCCGAAGAGCTTGATGCTAGCGATATCTGTACAAAGAGGTTCAAATCGTTGTATAAATTATTTCTATGATGACAGTATTGATTCTAGCAGTGTCTAAATAAAAGTTGTATAATTTGTTCATATTTCTTTGGTAGAGAACGCTCTGCCATAAACCGAATGCTCACGCCTGTGTTTGTCACGATTGCAAATAATAAACGAACACGAGAATGATTGTTTGAAGCAAGATTACAGAAGCTTGGTGGTAAATAAAAATGACAGCTGCGGAAGCAGATGAACATTTATAATCACAAATTCTTCCCATATGTACTTATACATGTGCTTAACCCATGATCTGCACTGGCCTTTTTTCATTACGAGCAGAAAACTGCTTTAAGGAGATCGCTTTTTTCCCTGGACTTGATATCTCTGTTTGTGGCTTTGATCATAAGAAGGGCAAATCGCTATTATTCACTCTTCGTTTACTAACACCATTTAAAAAATGTAATCAAGCAAGAACTCTGCTAAGCCCTGCATACATGCAAATACTTTGTGAACGCTTGTGAGCATTTGCACTGGAAGAAAAAATTTATCGAAGTTAGTAAATGTGAAAGGGTGACGCAAAGTTCAAAGAATTGAAGAAGCAATGACAACTGGAATAGAACCCCATTTTCTCAATGAATAAGCAGAAACGATTACGTAAAAATGCTATATTCGGTGATTACAGCGCAAAAGATGGTGCTAGTCACCTCTTAAGTTATGAACGCTTATTTACCCTCATGCAACAAGATATGAGAGTCCAGTAGTATGACTAGAATGGACCCTCAAATCAGTGTAAGTGTTATGTAGAGATTATGTGCACATGCCTTTAAGAGCTGACTATAGCCTTGTTTGGAGCCTTGTTTCCCACCTTTCTTGATTTTCTGCACTTGTTTTCATCATTTCGAAAAGCGGAAATTTTTTACTATACTTCACAATAGAGTGAATCAGTCTAGATAAAATTGGCTGTGCAGAAGCGAAGCAAGTATGGACTTCGCTAGCCCAAAATGCTGAAGCCAATACTTGTTCTTCTTAATGATTCGTGCCATTTTGTTGCACATTTCCATTTTATTTTTTTACAAATGCGCAAATTTTTTTGGGCATGAAAAGTATTTACTAATAGACTAAGTAGGTTGGTTCATGTGATGCAAATTTCCTGAAGTTTAATTTCAGAGTCCAGATCAAAAAAAATCGAATAATGCAGTCCTTACGAAAAAAGCATCCTACCCCAAAGACTGCAAAAAAAATCCTTTTTGCGATGCTCAGTTCGAGAAAACACCTAACTTCACTCTGACTGCGCAAAGCAAAACTGCAGTCGATTTTGGCTTAATTCTTATACAGCAGAGAATGGCCACAGCCACAAAGTTTGATTTGAAATTGTCAGCCCAGGAAGAAAAGCAAGAGGAGTGAAAGCAAAGAATCTCGAGTTTTTTCTCTCATCTAGAGGCATGCAACTCTTCTCTGGAGTAAAGGTAGATCTGCGGTTACGTTAGCACGTATTAGAAGGCAGGGAATTGAGGATGGGATCCCATGCCCGGCAAGCCTTTTGCAATTTATTTACACATTATGTGTGTTTGATCACCCCGACGTTTTACTACTTTACTGGTGCTTAAAAACAAAGTAGCGCAAATCAATATTTTTCTTCAAAACATGACAAGATGTGAAAAGGGAGAAAGACAGGAGGAGAGGAACTGAAATCTGGATGAAATGTCACAGGTTACGTCAGCAGGCATCCATATTCCTTTTTAACGCCCTTATAATACTGCTCTCCTCCAAACACGGTAAGAAACTTTAACGAGAACTACACCGAAGTTGCATTCAGGAAGTGTTATTGCAAAAAACTTTTCCGTCAGAAGCATTTTGTACTAGAATACTCTAAGTGTGACAGAAGTCTCACTAAAGGTTAAGAATATTTTTTGCTTTTCCTGTTGGATTGTGTACGCTGGATATGACAATAATGTTTTACAATGTATTGAAGAATTTTGACGTTTTGAAATTTTTTTGTCACCGTCTTTGTCTCAAGTACGATATTTAGTCAAGATTAATCTTCCCGCTCTCCAATGTTCAATGTATTATGTAGGCAAAGTCGAAAAAATTGGAATTTTTTTATCCAGAAGTCCCAATGGAGCAGCCTAGCCTAAAACCTAAAATTTGCTTCAGCGCTACAAGTTTTTAAACGACATGAATTTTGCCGCTTCAGCTTTGTAGAGAATATGTTGGAACCATCGCATGCACTAAGGAAAAATCACATTCTTATAAGTATATATTCCCCATTTTTAATTAATACTTCTGCAAATTGTACTAATAGCTCAATAATATTGTTTTTCCACTTAATTCACTATTTCTGATCCCGTTCGTTACATCTACCACTTGATGTGCTAGGTCGCTCTCAGACGAGCGTAATATCCCTTAGAACAACGGTCTTCAAATGATTCTGAGCGCGTTTAGTTCAGCTTTTCATGTTCTTTTGAATATTAGTTCTCCTTAGTCCTTGAAAGTCAATGAGCTCTGAGAAGATGGCCAGAAACGTATAGTTTTTTCCCATTGAATTTCTTATCGACTTCACGAAAAAAAGTCGAATAACTCTTAGATAGAGCTAACCCTACGCGATACAAACAATCTTCCTTTCCCATAGCTTGCTTCTGAAAATTTTTCGAAATTGTCTTTTTGGTGATAACAGAGCCTATATTCGGTCAACTGATACCTGATAGAACATCAAACGGCGAGCAGCTAGTGTGTATTCGGGCTTTTCTCCACTCTCTGATAGATCTCTTATGTTTCCAGTTCGTGAAGGTATCGTATTTTATATCTCCAGACGCATCGCTAACGTACCCAAAAAAGCTCGCTTTGTAAATCAGTGTGAAATCATGAACACTATTTGAAAGGTTCGAATGACGAAATATTGGTGTTTGATGAGTTTGTGTCCGAGACAGACCTGTAAAAGTCGATGGTGTCAATGAAAATTATCAAAAATTCTAGCGAGTTGAAAAGAGAAAGAAATTGCTTTGCATCCAGCAGAATTCATTCTGTCGATCGGTTGCTTGTAATGCTCAATTGGACGGATATAAAATTCAAAAAAAGAAACCTGACATTGGCAGAAACCATGTGTAGTAGTTCCTGGTCATTTTCTAAGAGCTCGTTGGTTAAATTGGAATAGGGAAGCTCACGCTTGAAAGGGAATGAATGGTTGCATCTTGTGCACCGAAAATCTTCCGAGGACCTCTATTCTGCGAGATGTTATGCTCGTTTGAAAATACGAAATCAGTACCGAAACGACCTAATATGTTTGTTCTTTTTTGAATTTGTTGTCGTTATGTTCTTATAAGGCCCTAGCATAAGTGAGATCAAGTATCTATCTTATCTGATTACTCTTTTACATTCTCGTTTCGATACTGTCTATGCTTTATGCTCATTCTTATAAACATACTTTCATTGCTTAGACTTTTGCTTTGATAATAAACAATTAACCCTCAATATGTGGTCTTGCATACATCCGATTAGCGTAATATATTAGGATGGAAGGAGGAGTAATAGGATGTCCTAGGTACACTGTTCATTTGCAACGACCCTCTTGGATTGAGCTTTATAGCGCGGCTTATGGGCAGCATTTTGTAGTGCTGGTTCAAAAATTGATTTTCAGCACAAAAATTGGTGATCGCTCTTAGGGTGCCTTCATACCGCGCCAGCAGCCGTCGCTAGCAGCCCATAGCAACCGCCAGCAGCCCGCAGCAGCCGCCAGCAGCCCGTAGCAGCCCATAGCCGCCGCCGGCCGCTTTTGTTATAAGCAAAATCGTCAAAATCTTACTACTTTAAGTGCTCCTGCCTACCTTTTCATCTTCTACGCTTATTTCCTCTTATGACCTCTAATATGCAGTTCAACTCCCCCATAATACATTTGTGTTCATTATTCTATTCCGCACATTGTATCCTATTGCGCTCACATTCTTTTGCATTCTGTCTTATTCAAAAAGATGTGAGCGATTATCAAAGCCAGAAGAACTCAACCCGCAAATAAATCCCGGCGAACTTGCGAAATAGTAGAATGCAAGTTAGATATGCACCGATAGCCAAGAAAAAATTGAAGCAAAAGCATACTCAAAAAACAAATTGCAACCAGCAGGAAACGGACGCATCCAAACTCAGAGCGAATTACACCGAAAGGAATTTTCTGCGAATTATGGTTCGACAGGATGACCATGCGGCGAGAAGGTAATGACAACAATGGACACATACATGATACATATGAGATCAACTGCGTACTGGCGACAAATAAAAAAAGGGTAGAAGATGAAAAACTTAGACAAGAGCACTCAAAGTTGTAAGATTATGATAATTTTGCTTTTATAACGAAAGCGGCCAGCGGCGGCTACGGGCTGCTATGCTCTGCTACGGGCTGCTGGCGGCTGCTACGGGCTGCTGACGGCTGCTGCAGGCGCGGTATGAAGGCACCCTTAATCACTTCAGGATTACCGTACAAACATTCAGCATTTTGCGCCATTAATTAGCTGAGTTTCGAAATTTGAAGAATTCAAAAGTTGTGCAACAGATTTCCACGCAAGTCAAATTCACTACTTTTTTGCTTTGAATTTGTAAAGCTGCTTATACGGTGTAATCACATTTCAAAGCAACCCAAAGAAAACAACTGTTTCGACATACTTGGTATAACTTATGAACGAAGCAAATTAGTGCAAATCTCATATGCAGAAAGCGACTTTGGCTAGCCTAGTGTAAATATTTTACGCGGCTTTTTTTGTAAGACAAAAATGTAGCTTTCAAGGGAATGGCTAAAACAATTTTCAAAATTTCTAGTGTTCTGCAACCATTAAAAGTGGTCGCTTCGTTCTCTATACTGTAAATCCAAGTTGAGAAGTTCTATAAAATAGTGTCATAGATCCGATAAAGACCTCAAGGCAGAAGTATTAATCACAAGAGGATATTGCGACACCCGTGAAATCGAAAAAAGGGTCAGAAAGAAGGAGAAGAGATAGTGTCTTGACAGTGTAGCGTAAGCAAGCAAACTCCACTTAGTGCACATTAATGAGATGTTCTACCATGCCTTTGAAAAATCTATATAATTCAAATCTCTATCTTCATTTTCTAGAGGAAGCTTTATACCACAAACTATAACGAGACGCGTTTGCAAATAGTTACTACCTGAAGAAAAATTTCTGCGAATCTATCTTAGTGTCAGTGTTGGTTTCTTGAAGAGAATAAAATCTTTGGAAGCACAGATACTGGAAGTAAGGCTGTGATTTTTCTAAGTTTTGTAGATAAGCACTCAGTCTATTTCAACGATGAAATCAGCTTTGAAACTTCATCGACACAGTCATCTTTCCTTGGTAAAATGTTTCGGGATTCATGTTGATCCCCGATTGACTTTCAGTGAACATATTGATTATATTGTGAAGAAAGCTTATTCGATTCTTTTCGCAATCTTTCGAGATATCCGTTCTCCAATCAAACAATGTTGATAAGACTGTACAAAATTACGTGCTCCCACATCTTTAGTACTGTTTTCAAGTTCGGAGTACGACATTCAAAAAGCCAATTTTGAAACTTCAGAAAGTTCAACGTGTTCATCCACGAATGATCATTTTCAAGTAATTTGGAATATATGTAACACTTCTCCAAATTATAAAGAGCGACTTAGACTAACAAGATTGTGGACTCTGAGTAGGAAAAAGGTCAAGGCTGATCTTTTATTTTGCGTACGAATAATCGCGGAGGAATTGAATAAAAAGCCAGGAGGTTTGGGCCTTCAGACCAACTAGCTGCTGGCAAGGAATATGTAGAAGTTATTCTGCACTACCCTATGTCAGATACGTGTTTTATGCTGGCTCTTCAGGTGTTTGTTTAATCGCTGTGCTAGATGATTTAGACATATGATACCATAATTGCGTCGGCCAAAAAACAGCAAAATTGAAAGGGGCTGCGAAATCTTGTTTCACAGATTGTAAATGAAATCTACGCTATGTTGTTCTTTTCTGCTAGTAAATCCAATTTGGATCAAAGTCTCCGATATTTTCATGGATATTTGGTTGAAATGATATTCATTGATTTATTTCTTTTCTTTTTATTAGGTTGGCACGAAAGCTCTTGCGTGATTCAAACAAAATTCAATAACTTTTAAAAGAGTAAACCTAAGTTCACAATCTTGTATGCCAAAAATATTAGAAATCTCACGCCCCATGATGGATGTTCAAGCATAAGATTCCGTGAGCTGGACATCAAGAAAGAAACTCTCGAATATGGGGCTTCAAATTTTGCGATTTTGAGTTTAGTGCCAGAAAATCGCAGAGTGCCGCTAGCTAGCCGAAAAAAAATCTGTAGAATTTACTTACACAACAAAAGTCCATATATTACTTTGAAAGTCTTTGATCTTGCACGGTGAAGCAAAAACAAAAAATTCGTGAAATATGTCATTTTGCGGAAAAATCCCCTCATGTCCAGTTTTCCGGCGAAATACTTTTTTACAATCGCGACAACGTCGCAAGGCTCTAAATAGGCACTATGTCTAATTTCTGGTTGCAAACTGTGTTTCTGTGGAAAAATTAGAGCGATAAGGGGAGTTGTCCCGTGAAATGAGAAATTTCAGAAATTTTTTGTTTTCGCATTTCCATGCGAGATCAAAGCCTTCTAAAATGACTGTGGAATTCTGCTGTGTAAGTAAATTCTACAGTTTTTTTCCGGCTAGTAGCGGCCCTCTGCGATTTTCTGCCATCAAACTCAAAATCGCAATATTTGAAGCTTCATATTTGAGAGCTTCGTTCTCGACGGCTGGCTCATGGAATGTTGTGCTTGAACTTCCATCATCGAGCGTGAGACTTCTAATATTTTTAGCATACAAGATTGTGAATTTAGGTTTAGTCTTTGAAAAGTTATTGAATTTTGTTTGAATTACGCAAGAACTTTCGTGCCAACCTAATATTTCTGTTATCAGCTTTTGTATCTCACAAGGAGAGGATACTTAGTCGAAAGCGCCAATTAAGATGAGACATATATCATCTTAAAGCGCTTGAAACGCTGATTCCAAATCTGCAGTTTCTAGCTGCGGAACGGTTTTGTAGAGGGAGTTATGAGGGGTGTTTCCCTCTGGGGTCGAGGCGTCCTCCATTATGTCTCCCCCTACTATAAGCACTGTAGAGGAGTACCAACTGGTGGCAACTGGCCTAGTGGTAAGTAATTTGCTTGATAAGGAGAGTGTCAAGGTTTTAATCCCCTTCGCATGCAACTTTATCGCAGTTTTTGCAAAATTGAGCTTCTAAATGCTTCAAAGCTCTGAAGCTTGAAATTTTTGATAATATTGATGCTATAGAAGTGTTAAAAAGCCAAAGTAAAACGAGTATTATGGTCCTTACTGTAATCTTCATTCAAGTTACTTACCAGGCCAGTTGCCACCAGTTGCTAGTCCTCTACAGTGCTTATAGGTAGGGAGACATGGTGGAGGGTGCCTGGCCTCGACCCTAGAGAGAAACACCGCTCATAACTTCCTCTACAAAACCGCTCCGCAGCTAGATACTGCAGATTTGGAATCAGCGTTTCAAGCGCTTTAAGATGATATATGTCTCATTTGAATTGGTGCTTTCGACTAAGTATCCTCTCCTTGTCAGATCAATGGTATCGCATCGAATCTTGTTCATAGGTTTGACCTTATGTACATAGTGCTGTTTCGTCGCGTGTCGGTAAGAGATGACAGTCTTCTCACTGTTTCTAGCCTGCTAGCTGGTTCAGTACTTATCATCTGCTAAGACTGAGATCGTTTTCTTTTCATCGAAACTCTTCTCTTGATCTACCGATCGAGCAGCTCTATCACGCTTTATCTCGAGGCTATCGGTTTATCGGTAGTTTTTTCTTCTTATCGAAAACTCAATTCCTTGTTCTACTTGACACTTGAATATTATCTTGAGCTGACAAGTGTATCGAAAGATCGTTAAATTGGCAAATACCTAGCGAAAGCAATTCGACCATTGAATTGTCTGATCTTTGGTAGCATATCATTTGCTCAAATCTCTCAAGGCCCTTGTTTTAGTCTTCCGTCATTGGGTCAGTTGTTTTTCATGTAGAAAAAGCTTTCGGAGCCAATTTCCCAGTTTGACGAAGTACGGTAGTTGGTTCATCTAGTTACCAGCTTGTCAGTTTTTTATGGCGCATATTGTGTACGAGATGAAGATTAATACTAGGTCATTTCAAAAGTTCGTTCGCCAGTTTTTCAAAAAATCATAATTTTTTTCCTTCTTGATGGATTTTCTCGAAATTATAATTACTTGAAGGAAAAAAAACTATGCCTTTTACAGCACTGCTTCTGCCGTGAGTTAATATGAGAGATTTTGAGAATTAGAAGCAATTGAAGGCAATCACTCAGAACTGGCATTTTTTAAGCAGGGTCACAAAAAATTCTGAAACTATTTTTGTTTGAAAGAATAATTTTTGCATATTACCGTGGCACCTTTTCATGGATTATTACGCAATAGTTCACGAGTTAGAAGCATTTGAAGAGAATTGCTTCAATTTTGCAGTTTTTGAGCACGCTGAAAAAACCTGCAAACGCCATAGCGGAAAACGTAACAGCTATAGATGAGGGCTTTATAACCTCTTTCTAGCTAAGGGAGTTTCGTGCTAATCGAGAGCAATTTTGATTTTCGTGAAAACGGATAGCAAATCCCTAAAAAATCCTTACCTTTTTTAGGAACATTCGTTCAGCAAGGAGTTTGCCTAGTTAGAAATACGAGATCATAAAAGATGTGTTCGTTTGTTTTGGTATTTTTTATAACGTTTTAAGATTTTTAGTGAGCTTTTTTGAAATTACCAAAGTTTGAGTAGTCATTGTTTGCATTTTTGCCCGTGCAACTTGTGCTTAGCAGAACGAATTCAAGTAACAGTTAGAAACTACATAATCTTTTCATTTTAGAAAAAATAATCCCAGGCAAATCCAGGCAGATAGCAGAGAGTTACGATTTTTTGAAAAACAATGCGAACGAAATTTTGAAATGACCTATATAAAGATAAGCACCCCCAGCCTTTACATAAGCCCTTTCAACCCTTTCAGCCCTTTCATAAGCACTTTCCTGAAATTTTGCGGTACTTCTAGGTTCTATAAAACACCAAATCAATAATGTTCAGTAATGCAACATTTCGGCTACATGACAGCCAAGATAGTGCCTTTTGCCAACCTTCTTCAGCAATTGATCAATGAATTATTTGTGAGAGTGCTTGTTTATAAGAGCAAACTCATTACCAACCTTCTTCAGCAATTAATCAATGAATTATTTGTGAGAGTGCTTTTTATAAGACCAAACTCAAGCTCTGCTCTACATCTACCATATTACTCAGAACTTAAGTAGAGGCTGAGTGTGCATAGGCAAGAGTGTAAGCGCATGTTCCATTATCTTGCATCGTGCTAATAACACCTTAGTATTCTAACAATAAGATATTGCATTAGCCTTCTATCCGTAACTTAAAGTTACCGTGGAGCGTGCAAACAGTAAAATGTGGCTTTTTCAATTTATCGCTAACAGTGAGGTAAGAGCAAAATCGCAAAGTAAAAGCAGGATTAATTTTGACATCTGTGTAACACAAAGAATACGCCTTGAGGTTAATCTTTATTGACAGCAAGCAAAATGTCTGTGTTTACATCTTTAATTGCACAGTGCTGTCAAGAATAAGTGAATTGATAAGACTTAGACATTTCTACGATTTCTCCCCATAATATTGGGATTTAATGAATTTGTTAAGGCGAGGAAGTACGCCTCAGTTTCTCTCTTCGGCGAAAGCCGTGGCAGAGTCCTCCGATCGCGTTTGCAAAGAATCAGTTCGCTTTTGTATCGAAATCGTGGGTGACGATATATGAGAATGATTGGTGCAACAAGCGAAAAAAGAGCTGAGACCTGAAAAGTAAGCTTGCTTAAAATACTGTAAACTGCACATCGAAGCAACGTTTTCATATGCAAGTCATAGGTAAGGCCATCAACGTGGGCTCGCAAAAAATGTAACGTTGTCGTGCGCACCATGCATTAATCCACGGGATGAGCAGTAAGCAAGTTAGAAATGGTCCTTGACGTAACTATAGTATCCTACAGTAGCTCTATGATGCAGGTTGGTTTATCAGTTATTAGTTGAAGGCGTTGTCCCAAGAGGCAGACAACTAAAAACGCACGTTGTCGTTAAAGTTAAGAGACGTTCAATGCAGAACTAATATTCTTGATCAAATGCGAACTCCGTGAGCGCGATAAAACGTTAATGCGCGTGGTAATATACTTAATTTGATGCAGATGATTGTACCATGTCTTCTTGATTGTATAAGAGCTAGAAATGTGTGGCTAATTTTGTTTAAATTTGGAAAAGTGGCAAATGATTCAAGAGAGTATTCTAGTGAAAAGATCTTATGTGAAGCTTTGACAGATTTCTTTTGCCTCTTAGCTAGCGCATCAGTCAGCAAAGTCTTGCATAAAAATGACTATCAAACTTCCTCTTCAAACGTTATAATTTCGGGACTCATGCGGGTGACCAAAATTATCTGTAAGAGTCATGATTTTTGGGTTAGCAATACAAAACAGAGAGTTTGATTTTTGGCATTTTTTTCGAAAATCATAATTCTTCACGGAAATGCTTATTTGACACAAACTCTGCAATGTTGGAAACTGTAGATCAAGTTTCAGTTTAGTAGCCTAACTTAAAAATGACCGTTGAAGTATTCTATTTTCCTGCTTCCATCTCAAAAGCTACCCCTTTATTGAAGAGCAGCAAAGATAAGTCACAGAAAAAAGAGTTTCCTCTATTAAGATTTAAGAGTGCGCGAATCCGTTGAGAGAGCAAGAAGTTACGGTTTTTTGAATATAATGCCACAGAACTTTTGCATCGACCTAATATCTCTTCAATGTCCTCCGCAAGTTTTGCGTACCATTCTGTAGAACTGGCTTTAAATAAATTCAGCAGTATGGAGCAAATCACAAATTGCTTGTTATCGTGAAATTACAAAAAGAACTTTCAGCATACACCGCCATTGTGAACTGACATTTATTACTCAAAAAATTCAACAATCTAGCCATTTTACCAAGTTTTCACGAGGCTGACTATAGCTGTTTGTGGCTTTTCAAACGGTTAAACAGTGGCCACTTGCGCTTGTTATAACTAATAAACAAGCAATGAGATAAAATGCAAATTCTAGTTTAGAACCAGACAAAAGGGTGACCTTGAATACCATGAGCGCATCGTCGTGAAATGTAACCAGGGTCGAGCAAGAGGATGGCACACAACCGCCGGAAGTTAATGGGATGTGGCGACCCCAGAAAAGCTGTGGCTGCTACACAATTTTAGGGGTTGTGCCACTCCTCCTCGTTGGCTTACCTTCAAACCGTTTGAATATCGGCTTTCTAGATGTTGTTATCGTTTAACCTTCTTCTTTACAAAGCAAGGATTCATTTGAAATCGTTTCTTATATGGAAACATGTAGTCGTTTCTCCTTACCTATGCAAATGGAAAATACTGCGAAAATATTGGGTTACGGTAACATGCTAAGTGTACCCTAGTATGTATATTGTGAGGGAAGGCGACAAAAATGGACATGTTCGGTAGCCTAAATCTCGTTCACAAAAGTGATTTGATGATTGGTCTTCTCTAGTCTGAGATAATGAAGTCGAAAATTGGAACAAACTAGATTTGGCTTGCTCTTAATTCCTTGATTTAAGGTTTATCTGAAGTGGGATTCCTGATTTGAGCAAAGAACTAGGAACTAGTACTTTGTATTGAGTGCAAAAAGAATAGCTAACTCACCTTTGGAACAAAGTTAACATGTTCAAAAATGACAATGACTTGGTTGGTCTAATATTTGAAAACCTCACGGATTGCTGAAGCTTGGCCCACAGGGATATTTGACATGCTAACCACGGAAATAATGCTCTTATGCTCTTGGGGCTCTTTTATTACCTTCCTGTACGTAGTGGTAGGTTTCCCGACGTGAGGTTTCCGCTTCCTGTACGTATTGGCAAAATCTTGTGAAAGTTTCTACCGGATACAGCAGTGGGGAGCCATTAGTGATTTGCTCCAAACTGTAAATCCAACTAAATTGAGGTCAACTCCCAGGATGGTACCCGAAAATCGGGGATGCAGTGGGGCAAGAGAGTTAAGAAAGGTCATCTAAACGTACTTGCGACTCCCTGTAAGCACAATTTTAGAAAAAATATTCTATGCCAATCTCTTGCAGCTCTACGAGTCTACTCCTAATCGACAAACATGGATATCTTGAAACTAATTTGAGCACAATCATAGTCTTTTTTCTTGGGGCGGACTCACCTGCGTAAACATGTGAGCAGCCAGTTTTATGAAAGCTTCGTGTCCCGGTTCACGCATCTTATCGGAGTACATGATGCTCTATAAACAACTTTGATTTTTAAAGCGTTTCATTTTGAAAGGGACCGGCCATACTATTCCTGTGATTCCTGATTCCTGCAATTATTGTGATTCCTGCGGGTCCCACTACAATGTACACTGCAAAAAAACAATGTATACTGAACTTCGCAAAGCGCTCTGTAATGCGGCACATTGAAAATGGAGAAATGAAGAAATTGCAGGAGCTATAGGAATCACAGGAATTATTTCCTGGAATAGTATGGCAGGTCTCAAAGAGGGTTGAGCCAAATGCGTACGCGACTACGCAATGTGCGCTCCATATCTTATCGATGTGTGCGTACGCTGCGTACCCTTTGATTCAGTGGGACTGACGGCTGAAAGAAGGCCGCTCGCACCCGCGACGCACTCTGCGTCTCTCTCGCGAGCGTGCTCTCGATCATTTTCTAGCCCTGCGTAAGCCTCGAAGCACCCCCCCCCCTTGCCAATCCCGTTGATTCAAAGGTACGTCGCATCCGCCACTCCGCGCAGTCTGACCCAACCCGAGAGCACGTCTAATATGGAATACAAAGGCTCATTGCTGAGCAGAACTAAAATACTGTGAAACTTTCCGGAAGAAGGGAACAATAGATTCTTTCCTGAAAGCACGCGTGCCAGCATTATAAAGCCCATTTGTTTATAGCCGTTTTAGTTAAAAGTCGTGCATGTTTTTTACTGCTTATTTAGATACTTAGCGAGAAGAAGTCCGAGTATAACATCCTCCTCTGCCCAACATGGGCACTCTGCCACTAATTGCCAAAATTTGGGAGACCTCCAAATGGATTGGATGTCATCTTATTGATCTTCAATACTATTCAAAGATGCAATATGGTCGGTACTTACCAGACATATTATCTGCACAATGTTGACCATCGACCACAATGTGGTTATGGGGACCAGCAGAGCCAGGGCAGACAAATTTTCTCTCCGCTGATATTTATGTGAAAGTGCAGCGCAAATGCTCAGTCCGAGGAAGCGTCTGTTGAGATAGTATGAGCAGAGGTTTACCTAAAGCAGCCCCTTGGAATTTACATGAAGAGGTGATTGCACAGGCACTTGCGTTTGTGACTTTTTTATGATTCACAAAACATGCACTTATACTGAGGCTAAATAATTGAGAGCAACTCTGCATTGCGTAATTGAAAACATGTTTTGGTAGTCATAGCTATTACCAACAAATGAATATCGAAGTGCAAGTAAACATACCAATAAGGAAGTAACACTCATGCAGATCATTATCGGGATGAATACTGTAGTAGAATGCTTCCTCAGACCTACAGACAAAGATAAATACGCTATGCAACATGGTGGTTTGAACAAAAGCTGCTTACCTCCCTCAACAAATACCTCTATGCATATCACTGTCCCTATCTAAAACAAAGAATGTATAAAAGCCTTAAGCTGAGCAGCTTTTCATACCAATAAGCTCGCGACAATGTATAAGTAAGGCTTTGACTGAAACCGTCGTTCGTAGGTGGAGATCGAACAAGTAGCTAAAAGACGCTCAAAAGTCGCAAGCAACAGAGTGACTGTAAATGCCATAAACGCATCGTCGTGGATTGTAACCATCAACGTCAGAAAGGGATACAGTATTACCAATAGACCTTAAGTCAAACATATAATAGCCAAGCGACAATAGTAATTTGATTCCATTTTTAGAACCCTGTTAAGGTGATTTTTTCTCTTGATGAACTACAAAATATTTGGTTGTCCGGAATTCATTGCAGGTTTTGCAACGTTTTGAGTTGAAATGTCATAAACCGTTGAAAAATCAGATTTTGAGATGGGATAAGAATACTTTGATTGAAAGCTCTCATCTATCTTATGCCTATTCATTTGTTGCAATAGTTCCAAAATGCGACTTAGAGTGATTGGAAAACAAAGAAATTTTCAAACCAACGCCCTCTTTGGCAGTGATTCCTACCAGAAAAAGTGTCTATCGGGAAAGATTTAGCCCTTCTAGCCATGTTCAATACTAAACAGTTTGCTATCCAGACACTTCTCAGGATTTTCTTGTCAAACAAAAAATAATTGTAGATTCAAAGATCGTTTTACGTTTTTTTCGAAAGGCCCTGACCGTCAAAAATTCTGAACTTCATTCATCAGTAGTGAAGACTGGGAAATCTTTGTTTGAGCAGCCTGACAATTGTGGTCCTAGTCTTGAAGAACAGAAAGACTTTGACAACTGTTTCATTTAGGAAAGTTTCATAAACCACCACATTGCCTCTTGTGCATTTTGTAGGACTTTTCACCATCTTACGTTAAATACGTTATTGAAATACATTTCTTGCCGAATTAGTTCACGTCAAAGTAGTGGATCAAGAAAAATTTCTTCAATTGAGACTTTTCTATGGATGCTTCAGAAACCTGATAAATAGGGCTAATAGGCAGATGTCAGCGCATATTTAAGAAGCATAAATAGTGCTTTTAGAGACAGCATGCAATGGGGCGGCAAAAAATGCACTAAAAAGAAAACGGAAACCTGCATCATTCTCCGGGCAACCTGAATCAATGACTACAGAGTAACTGCTTTTGAAGATTCTCGCAAAAATAATGGGTTGACAGTTTTAGTAAGATGAGAATTTATGCGCTTTTCGAACTAGCCTGTACCTGTAAATTTGCTGACTAACCACATTAGTCTGGTAATAACTGTAACAAGAAAGAGGACACAAGCTATAGAAAGTAAAAACCTGAAAAAAGCAAGTAGCATCGAATCAAAGCAGAAGAAGAGAACTTCACTGGCCTCAAGTTTAGATGAAATTCTTTGAGACGATTAGCAATGCTTACAAGAAAAATAGTTATAATGAGGCCAACAAAGTGAAGAACAAACTCCAAAGGATAGGACAAGTAATCGATGAGATAGGTGTTATTGTTGTTGTTCATCACATCCTGTAAAATTTTTTTGACAAAATCTCCTCCGGAAAAAAGTTATAGCACTAACGTTGACAACTGAATTTGTTTGATTCAAAGCGGCCTGCTGGAACATAGCGAGTGCACAATGCTAACTGATACGGCTATTGGATTAATCCTTGAGGCTCCACCCAGATTCATCGGTCAAACACACGACGCTCGCGCCTCAGCCTCGAACAGCAATGCTCAATCTTCTAATAAAACGACGGTAATTCCTAAATTACAATCAATGAAAAACAGAGTAGATGGATTTAGCCTGGCTATGAAAGTCTACGATGTCCTATGCGAGAATGGGCCTTTTCCTCATTACCAGTTAGGTGTTGAGGGCATAAGGTGAAAAGGGAAACGAAGGACTGTAAGGAAACATAAAGGCGAGGCAGTCGTAGCCTTAGCCTTTTCCCCTTTTCCTCCCCCTGATTGCGCAGCGCCACAGTCGAGATTGTGAGGCCCACAAGGATTCGCATTTTACTTTGGCGGTCTAGGCATGAATTCGCATATTCATCCTGTTGAATGAGACTTGAAAAACTCCGTTATTCCAGTTTTTTGGTCACGTTTTTTTTTAATCAAACCTGACTAAAAATTTCTATTAGATACTTTCTTTACGTTCTGTCGTACTGGGAGCAAAAAAAGCAAAAATTTTGGGCAAGTGATCGTCTATTGCTTCAACACCATTTACAATATTGATGTAGTGTTTTTAATTGAATGAGATAGTGAATGAATGATAATGACTAATGATGAAAGACCAGGCCACATTCTCATCCTTCATCCGCAGTGCGTACTAATAAGTCGCATAATGAATGCACGAAAAATCCATAGGCTTTCAGTATCGGAAAAAAGCTCCACGGTTATTGTAAAATCATTTTATAATGCTTGTAACGGTCAAAATCAAAGTCCGAAAAGCTCAAGCGTTAAACTTCATTATAATCCAAATGAAAGGATATCTTATGACGCGGAAAAAACTGTAATTTTAGATCATACGGAAATTAATGCAGGTTCCGCCAAGGAACGAAGTATCATAAGTTTATTATAAACATTTTGAAATGCGAAAACAACTATCGTGATTAGTTAATTTTTTATCAAAGCATAGCACTTTGATCTGTGTACACTGTGCTTAGGAAAACCTGGAATTTTTCTAGAATAACCGAATTGAATATTACTCTAAATTTCAAAATTTCTAGTATTCGGCTTTCGAATATCATAGAATATTGAACATATCATTGTTCGATATTCGAACTTCGAATATTATTCGGTTTTCGAAGATTATTCGATTTTTGAATATCAATCGATTTTCGAATACTATCCAAATAATCAATGTCCACAAGATGACTGCCTATTGCATGTAAGTATTGAGGCAGCGCTCGGCAGATTCTCGACTTAAAGTTTTTTTTGCTTACCTGGGGTAATTCGAGGCGCTGATTCCGAAAATCCACCTCGATGAGCGCGAGAATGGCAAAAACACCATTTCTCAAGGCCTCCCGTTTTGATTTTGGACGAGTGGAGCACACTGCACACGCCTCCCGCCATGGCTGGAGAGGCAGAATCGTTGCGGGACTCTCGCAGTTATAACATTCGGCATGCCTTTTCTGAAGGGTCAGAGGGAATTGCAAGCTCCTCCGTGCGTATTAGGATGGCTTGCGCGTAACGGATTCCGGGCAAGGGCAGCATGCTGTGCGCTCGGACCTGCTCTGTTCCCATGTTTGGGGTGCAAGCAACCTTCCATGTCAAAATTTTGGCGAGTTCCGGGATGTTAGGTTTTGGCGAGCTGCTGCCTTTGAAAATGTACACTTATTCATGTTACAATTTACGATAAGCAAACGGCTTAGTGGTGACGTCAAGAGATTTGTGAACCTAGAAGCGTACTCCTATGACGGTTGTGAAGAAATTTGTAGAATTTGAGAAGGTTATCCCCTCCCCTTCCCCCTCCCACCTTTGAGAGTTGTGGATTGATAAATAGCGTCCCAAAAGTGTATAGATCTGTGGGGTGACATCTACTTAGACTTATAATATGGGCGACTTATCGATCGAGTTTTTATCAGGAGTCTTTTTGCGCAAGAAAAAGAACCGAAAAGGCCGAAAATACAAGTTAGACTTCACAGACACTCACTGTATATAAAAAATGCACTCAACCGTAGTGCTTTTTGAAAACTTATGCCCGGTACTCTCGCGCGCTCACATCAACAACTCACCCTCCGCAACGCTGAAAGGGGGCGTCAGGGCAAGAGAGGATGTGTAGTTTTCGTGTCGCGCTGGATGTTTCCAGTTTATATATAAGGATATAATATATTGAGAATGAAACTGCTCGCAAAATTTTGGGCGGAAGTAGAACAGTACTTTAGGTTGATTTTTTTGAATTTATAGCAACTATTTTGATTTCATACACTAGAGTTACTTTTCTGTGCAGACTTCTTTTCCTACCCTAACGCGGTGTGGATATTCTGATAAGCATCAGTTGCACACAGAGGGATCCAACAAGCGCTTTTCATTTTGTTCAGAAGTTCTTCTAAGGTTAACTAATTTAGAGCCCTTTTTTGAAACAAGAGAACGACTGGTGGATAGCGAAGATTACAAAATACAGGGTGCGGCAAAAGTCTGGGAGCCTAACTTTGCAGTACTGCAATTACAAAGATACTGATGGTTTTGAATTTAATTTTATGCCACATGATGCTGCGGTCATCCTCTACAGAAGACACTTTATTTGGCTGGAAATGGCTGCTATGTTTTTGTAAGAATGGAAATTACCAAACTAGTACTTTTGCAAAGCGAAAAAACCAAAATTTTTGGTATTTACAATTTTTGCTGTAACTAGAGATGCTATTAACATTTCACAAAACTTCGCCGCACACAACATAGAAGAGGCTTTGCGCTATTGTATCCTAGTTTTGCTTTTGCCAGGAGCTGTTTCTGCATGAACGGAAAATAAAAGTTTGCGAATGTTACCTAGGTGCCAGTGGAAATCCATCTTCAGAACAAATTTAAAAGCTATAGAATGCTCAACAGGCACTGGAACCAAGGCTGTATTTATTGTATACGTCTTCTAAATTAGAATCTATTGAAATTCGGCCATGGGAACACTTTTTATACTTTTAAACGATATTTTTAAGTTTTTATTCGCGCAATTGTAGCCAAAATTTCGGTATGCGACGCACACGTGCTTCTAATTGAGAATCCAATATTGTTATCCCTAAGCAATGCAAAAAATTCTTTTGGAAGTATGTTGTAGACAAAAGTTTGCTCTATCATGCTGCGCATTTGCCAAGGTAAAAGAAGCAGTTATTGTGAAAGCGTGGGCGAATTCCATTACGACTACCTGCGTGCCATGACAGGTGGACTTGCCAAGATTTTGTAGGGCTGCGTGGAAGCCAAAAGAGGCAGTTTCGCAATTCAAGAATTGGGCTGTATCTGCAATGGTTTCGAATTATGTGTGCTCCAAATTTTCCGTTTCTAGGTAATTCCCTTCTCGTTTTGTACGAAAAAGTACTAGGCTCCCAGACTTTTGCCGCACCCTGTACATTAGTTATTTTTTTATCGTAGTGTTACAATCCATTATAGGAAGCAGATCAAAAACGGTCACTGCAATTAGCCTGGTCAATTACATGCACAAGCTACACTTCCATTAAAACTCTTAAATTTTCCGTAACGACGGGTTCTCGTGAAGATGTAGCTTCTGCTTGTTGTAGTATAGAGGCTTTGTTAAGCATCGGCGATATGAATCTCAAAGATTACCTACAGAAGTTCGTTGAGTGGATAAATCGACGAATTAACAATGATCGTGCAGTAAGTCATTGGTTGCTAGGCTGTTGTGATTTTCGTGATCAGCAAGCCAGAAAACTATTTTCAAAGCAAGTTTAGCACAATCGAGTTATGTGGTTGCCTTTTGTTGCATGCTGCCGTCCTCGGAAGTTCAATAAAAATTTGAAATCTGATTGGTTGAAATATGCTCTAAGTGGTTTCCTGGCTTGCCCTTCATGAAACTAGAAATCGTTTTGCTTTGCAGTATCTCACAACAAAGTTAGAGTGCAAGAGTGGGGACAGGATGTCTGGTAAAAATTTGAAGAAAATCCCGTGCTCTTACCTCATTTGGAAATTCTGGAGTTACTTCTAAAGGCCAGTGACTGGTCTCCAAGCTGTGTAATACCGCAAATGTGTCCATTTGTCCCGGTCCTCCCTCACTCGTCCACATTTCTTGCTTCTCGTTGGTCTGTGCCACGAATTTTAGTTGAGAAGAACTGTAGGCGACTGATTTTTTAATTGGTCCTCACTTTCCAGGAACATTGTCTGCCCATCTCAACAATGTCATCCTTCTCCAATATACGAAATGTCCATTATCGTTTGTTTTTCTCATGATGTGGCCGGCCCATCGATCGCAACGTATTCTGCACCCAAAGACCTAGCAGCGGACCCCCTGACGAAATGTTGCTTTTGTCGAGTAATTCTTCGAAACGACAGAGTATGCTCAAGACACTCTGTGGATGGTCAGTCCACGGCCCGGCACAGATGGTATGGTGTCAAACTGGACTTCGTTTTTGGAGTTAGAGGCAACGGGAATATCGTTTTTATGAGGTCTAGAGGAATCGCCAAAAAACGACGAACATGTAAGGTTTTACGAGTTGAACGTGTTCAACTGCGCGAATTTGCAACGCAAGACTCAAACAAACAAATGGCTTGTTTACAGCGCACAAACAATCACATGGCTCCGAATATGGGCTATATGTATACAATATTACTTCAAACTATGTTATGTAAAAAGTTTCAAAAACTTATGTGTCCTAATATCCGTTCCCGAATTTGTTGGTTTCTAGACCAACACCAAACCAACTAGGTTGGTTCGGAGCATAATCGGAGAGTTCACATAAGCTTTGGACCTTTCTGATTTGGACGATTAGAAAGGTCAAAAATATCGTATAGCAAAGAGAGCGAATCAAACCACTGCCTCACCCCTTTTTTCGTGCCAGGTAGTGTAATCCTACGCGTTGATAGATATCGCGCTCCAATCACATGCGGTGTCTTTTGAACTATGTGGCGAAAAATGCATCGCCGGATTGTTGAGTCCACAGGTTGGCCTAGGGGGTTTTCGACATTCTGAGCACTAAAATGGTATCAAACCCAGTGGCAGATGTTTTAATTAGCTCGAAATGTTTTCTTTTTGCTTTTTGCTATATTATGTATCTCAAGATGCGCTTTTTTCGCTTTTTTGTTGTTATTTTGATTGAATAAAGGTTTCCTACTGATTTTTACGTCAAGAGGGACTTCGTAAATGTTCGCGAAGTCAAACGGGATTTCGTTTTCAAAAATGCTCCAAATCAACGCGTGCCGGGCCCTGGGTCAGTCTAAGCCTTCGACATGGCTGCAGTAGGCCCGGTCTACTGCAGCCATATCGAAGGCTGAGTAAGGAGCGCTGGGAGAACGGTTAAGTCGACTTTCTAAATACGCCCTGACTGAGAACTTTAAGTATGTGCTATTAGACCATGCGCAACCAAGGTCGTTAGTAAATTCTTCACGCTCCCACTTTTGTTCTCACAGATTCCTTTTCGTTTACAGAAGATCGAGTAGATTGGCTTCAATACGATCAGTGCACAACACGCTTATCACAAAAAACTAATAATCGTAGAAACCTTTCAATCTGTACTAGCTTTTCTTCTGCGCCCTCCTATGCCCATGGCTTCTGCATTACTTGTATGCTTTCTCAAAATTTGATGTGGCTTGGAAATGAAGACAACTCAAGACTGTGAAGAAATTATGTACAGGTTTACAAATAAAATTAGCTTTACGAAGCAGCTTCGAGAAAGAAAGAAGAAGAACAGCGCTATCTGCCAATTGTGCATACTTGGGCTGTTTCTATGGAAGTTGGATTTTGCGGGGGTTTTTTTGCACAACAAGAGGTTTTCTTGCTTTTGAAGCTAGATTTCAAGATTGTCGAAATTTGATCTCACCGTATAGGTGACGTGAAAATCCAGTATCGGAGACCAGCGAAGAAAAGCTTTGAGAGAAAGCAAACAAAAGGAAGCAGTTGTACAGTACTACTGCAAAGGGAAAGAACGATGTGGTAGTTTGAAAAGTGTGCACACCAGTGAAAAGAGCTCAAAAAGTTAATCTCAATTACGTTTTCTACATCTGCGAAAAAAAAGTTCTGAAGGAAGTTATTAGTTTTTGCACTTATAATAGGTGTTTCAAACAGAAAATGACGGCCTACGGATAACATTCTGTTGAAGAACACTCAGAGACTTCACGTGACATCAAAATGTAACATATGATATTTATCAAATGGTCTTCTTTGGCCTTCGTACTCCTTTCTAGGAATTACCAATATTATGCAACTCAATATATACGAGATCGGACAAAAGAGAAGCCCATATCTTTCTCAGCAAGACGCTTTGTAAACATACAAGATACATCCGAGCGTGTTTTGAACCCCATTCGTATGATGCAACAAATGGGGCTGTAGGTATACAACAAAATACTGAATACCTTTTCTTGTTAGTCAATTGTGTTTATTGAATTCAGTATGAGAACGTGAAGATGTTGTTTGCGTACTTTCTATAGAAATGCGAGGCCATTCACTTATGCTATCACTTACTGATTTGTCGCTTTTGGATTTATGACTATAGGTGTTGTGAGCTCATCATCAAACACGCATAACTTCTCTTCAGAATTTGAAATCAATGTTTGGAAGTGAACCAGTAACATCACTTCTCAGCTTGCTGGTGCGTTTTGATCTTTTTTGTGGGACAACTTTTTGATAAGCACTGGCTGTTGAACGTTCCGGTATTCTAGCGCTAACATATGTTTTGTCACTGTAGAACAAATTTCCAAGCACATTTTTATCACAAAACCAGTTACAATACTGAAAATCAAACAGCGAACGAAGTGGACAGTCCGTTTTCGAAAAAATGAGCACAAACAAAAGCGCACGCTCTCATTGAATGTATCTTAGTGAGCACTTGATTTGCACAAAAGCTTTTTGCTGAAATAATGCTTCCACACAAGCTGGTTTGCTGCTCAAATCGCTCACCACTTTAGCAAGCGTACGGAAATCTTTTCAAAGCTACTAGGGTAGAGTTCATCACTTACATTGATATCACTATTGTGATTGATTGACCCTTCAACCGTTCAAGGAAACCCCATGAATATTGCTGATTTCTTTTAATTCGCTAAACAAGAGCAGGTGCATAGCGCCAGACGCCGCTTCCGACCAGGTTTGTCCAGCTAAACTTTTTCATTTGTGTGCTTGAAGCTCCACCTCTCTTAAAACAGTACTATTTAAATGGCGTCTGGCTAGGACACAAGCGAAACGCAGCAATCTCAAATGCAATTCCTTCTCTTTGCTCTTGCCATTTGTGTCTCAGGTGAGTTTTTGTTCACTCTGGAATATTTTGTGACACGCAGTATATACCCATGCATAATATGCATCTTAACTAAATAATTCGTCAACAAAACGCTTATACTAGCATTCTTTGTTTGTACAAATATGTTACAAATAATCTGGAAGATGGAAATCACAACCTCTCCAAGAAAATGCAAATTGACTCTCAGTGGATATTTCAACCTCAAGGTTGCTTTTATGAGCCAATCTCGCAAACTTAGTTCGTCTACGGTGGTCAAAACCATCGTGTCACTCGGGCGCTGTTAACATCCTACCGCAGGCATTTTCTGTCTCTTGGTAATTATTAATTAAAACAAAACCATAGTTTCACTCACCTTATCACCTTACAAACGGCTTTGTATTGCTAACTTGAGAATTCAGAATATTGCCTTTTGCCCTCAATGATTTTTTGAGGAAAAGTGAGGAAAACATTGCTTTAGAAATATTTAAAAAATAGTCAAAAAAGAAAAGAAATTGAAAGACGATCAATAGACTTATCATTTTTATATAATTCTATTGTCCTCACTTTTGATTGCGACTTTTGATCTTGTTTGATAGCTTGAATGCAACAGCGTGTAAATTAACCATCTCCTTTTTATTCCAGAATTTTGAGGAGATGTGAAGCTGGTAAAGAGGTTTTATAACATATTGCAGTAAATCAATTTGCTCCTACCCTTACGAAAAACAAAATCGATCTAAAAACGAGAAAACTTTGGAAGATTCTGATGTGAATTATGTGTGATATTTTGGTTTGCAAACAACGAATTCCATAGAGCAAGCTGAACACATCAGAATCTACGGAGAATTACAGAACTTTCAGAAGCATGTTATAAAGCACTACATAGTCGCGATTTATTGCAATTTCTTTCACCGTAGGATAAATCCTAAACGATGACAGTTCGGTAAATATATGCTAATATATTATATTAGGAGCGCATAACTCAGTGAATACGATATATTCTATATTCTTTGCGTTCTACTCAAAATGAAATTTTATGAGACTAAGAGTTCAAAAGTTTCATAATCAAACCTTAGCATCTCCCCTGTTGCTCATTACTTCTTTGTTATAAATCTTACTTACAAGAAAAGCTACCTAACTTGGCTCGACCTTTTGGCAAGGGACATACATACATTCTAAGGGCCGCATGCACTAACATCCCTGCGGCGAGGGGAGCGGCGTCCCCAATGATGAAAAAGCCGCAGCGGCGTCCGCACGCGGTCCCTTCATAACGGGGGACGCCGCTCCCCTCGCCGCAAAAATGTTAGTGCATACAGGCCTAAATCAACTTTGAAGCAGCTGATTCCAAGTATGCTATTCCTAGCTGTCGCGCACCATTCCAAAGCAACTTATAGGCGTTTCCTGCCTAGTGTGCCAATTTTGCGCAGGAAAAAGCCCATAAGTCGCTTCCAAGTTGTGCGTGAAACAGCTAGGTATAGCATACTTAGAATCAGCGTTTGGAGCTGAAATATATATGTCCCTTGCCAAAAGGCCGAGCTAAGTTAGGAGGCTTTCCTTACTATAAAGCTAATTTTTTGGGAATGGGCTGAATATAAGAACAATCTTCTATTTAGTGAGACTTACATACCAGCAAGCAACTGGCTACTGTCCTGGAGGAGTTCAGTCGCTTCCCTTAGACTGTGATCCAAAGCATCCGTGGCCGAGATGCCCTCCACAGACGTATTGCTATGCGACCAACAGTGTCGATATTGGGCCGTACTACTGCTGTCCCGCAGGTAAGAGTTCTTCAGAATACGCTAGTATCAACTATCTATTCAGATAGAACAGGGCTATTTATTGCACTAGAGGGTATTTGGGCCAAAAAAGCCAACAAACTCTTTCGCAAATGACTTTTTGTGCAGATTATAAGTAGTAGATTTCTGCCGTCAACAGCCAAAGTCCAGCATTACATTTCGTGTCTAAAAGACTAACAAGGAATTTAAGCTAATGTATTGCTTTATTTAGTGCTCTTAAAGCTTAGTCTTGTTTTATATAGCGGCCAGATTTGCACAAGGACGACGTTAAGGCATAAAGAGATGAAAAAAAAAGGAATTGTACAAAGTTTTAACCAAAATAATTAACAGCTCGTCAATTTAGCCGTGGCAGGGCGACCAAAATCATTGCGCATAGAGAACAGCAACGCACTTCTAGTTCGTTAAAAATTTATCTAAAAAATATGATTTTTCTCGTTGAGTCGGAAAACGGTACGTATCGATTGAAACAGCGGAATATAAAGGTTTCGGCTTTTCGAATAATTCTTGACTGTTTTCAAAATAAATCTTGACTTTTCAAAAAGGTAGCCGTCCAAGCAATTTGTTTCTTGGACAAATATCGCGAAGAATAGTTATGCGGGATTAGAGATCAAAATCTTTGAAATTAATTCCGCGATTAGCAATTTCAAAGTTTCTTAATGCGTTCCCTAATTGTACATCAACGAATTTTGAAACGCAAGCCCTTTGCTTAGCTAGATTAACTGGCACATTTGACAGTAGTATTAAATTTCACGAGACCAATGATTACTTTCAACAGGCGGAAACAACGTACCTCAGCCTACCTCTGCACCACAGCCTGCGCCTGCCATACAGCCTATACCAGAGCCTTCGCTGCCTGTGCAGCCTATGCAACCTATGCAGCCCATGCAACCTATTCAACCTATATCACAAGTAACAAACAACTACGTACAGTCTTCCTATTATTCATCAACTTCTATGCCAAATCCTTACCCATCGCAGCAAGTAAACGGGAACGGTTGGAATAATGTACCGTCATATCAAGTTCATCCAATGATGTCAAGAAAGGTAAACCACGTACGCCTGCAATAACTCTGAATAATCGCACACCTCGATTTTCAGCCATCGGAAAATGAAGACAGTAGAAGAATTAGTAATTCTATCAACCAGTGGCTAGAAAAGCAACAGCAGTGAAGGCTACACAAAAATTGAGAACGAATTGAACATACTCATCATTCATTCCAGCTAAATTATTGTATTCTAACTAGGAAATAAAGAGCATTGGTTGTTATCGACAATTGTTTATTCAGTGTGCATATTGCTTGCGCCATTCCAAAATAAATGTTGCAAAGCAACCAAGAATGCCAAATTACTTACTTCCAAAGATCTAGTTTTTGTGTGCATTTTGTGCTGAAGCTCTTTGATAAAGGAAGACTTCGAAAATAAACTTTTCAATATATAGTCTGCCCCTGTGGTCAGGTTTGTCCTAATATATCAAGCCAAAATTGGTATAGCGGAGCCAGTTTGCGTCACGTTTACGGCGTGCTTGTCTGCTCGCTCTTCAACCTCTTCTCTTTCTCCAACGATGCGCATATGCAACGCGGACCCCTAGCTCTGCGAGCGCACACAATGCCACAAACCAACGGATCCGCTTGATTCCGATTGAGACAGACTGCACATCAAGCCAAAACTAGCGTGGTGCGCTCCCGCGTTGGATCAGTCTGTGTCGTGTCTATATTTTACCATAGAAAGTTGTGGTAGGAACTTCTCTCTTCGTACCTCTTTCCCTTCAGCAGCGTCTTGCGAGAGCACATGTAGCGCAACCCTACCTGTGCGCGTGCGTACGCCAATGTCTTGGTCTGTACCCATTTGAGAGGTTTTGTGTTATGAGAGATTAAACATACTGAAATGTTTCAAACATTGCAAGACGTCTAATTTTCAAAGAACGGTGCACAAGTAAACATTAGGACACTACTCGGGACGTCCCATCTTTTTTTTACTTTTGCTTGTTTAGAAGCTAATCTCAAATCATCTCAAAGAACGCAAACGCCAGAATCCTAAATTCAGAACATAGGCGCGAGAGCAGGCATTCCTAACGTAGAAACGAAAAATCCTCGCATTAACGTCGTGATCGTCAAATTGCGTGATGATCACAACGTTGATGCGCGTTTATACACGTGCGCACCCTAGCCAAACGGGATTACTTCTAAATTTTGCAGACGGATTTGGCGCGTGCGCGACGCGTCAAGACAAGTCAAGCTGGACGGACTTGTTTATTTATTTGTTTAAAACTTGATGTACTGTTCAGCGAAACGGCCTTCTCTCATGAATACCGTCCACTCCTTCACTGCACTCAAAAACGCTTTGCACGTGTGCATCAACAGGTTCAAACTTGTGCAATGAGGTAGAGCACAAGTACTAAGTCGTTTACAGGTGTTAGCTTCTTCAAGTCTCCCAGTTACAGAATGATTGTTTACTTTTTGTTTTTCAGAGAGCAATTCTAGATATATTACTTCAATTAGTGGCAGACGTGAGATGTTAACACACACATTCATTTCATTCTATTCAGTAGTGCACATTAACAAAATTTATCATAGCGTGAACAAAATCGACATTATCGTACATGAATGAGTAAATTCATCATTAATGATTATATCAGAAATACAATTGGTCAAGAAGTTTGAGGATTGTGTTTTCATAACAGAATAACAACCAATGGACAAATACGTGAGAATGTCAGCACGACAGAATAATAATAATCAGAGACCATTATCTGTACACCTATATAAAGCTAAATTTGACCAGCGTGAAAACTTCAGATACTAAATACGTATCGGATATGTTTACGAAAAAATTAACCGTTTATATTGCACGCTAGATGACTGGACGGAGAGGGGATCACTGACTATGCTTACGATTCGATCTTAAAGAAGGGATAGGCACCAAACAGATACACGTACCTTCATCAAGAAGTTCCGTTAATGAAATATATTAAACATCGTGTTAATGGTAGACTATGTTAACAAGCGTGTCAACTAGCAATGAGAAAGCTTGAGTACAAGATCAATTCCCTGCAGTAGAAAATAGCAACGAAAAGTTGCGTTTCATAATGTTAACACTAATTTTTCTTAAATATTACCAGACCACACATCTTTGTTCAGGATTGAGAAGAGATCTAGCTGGACACGAGAATGCTTCAGCGAATTCTCGAAGATTTGAAAGTACACCCAAAACCCGGAATTGCTCCGGAGAATGCTCATCAGTCGTAACCTGCTGCATAGCGGCAGCGTCCTTTTTTTGTCCACACCAGAACTGAAAGATAATATATAAAGTAAAATATACTACAGACAAACATGTAATTTTTCTGCCTTTCTCTTGAAAATCGCGTCAAATCCCAGAAGAATAATTGTTATGTTTTTTCCTCCTCCAGGAAAGACTAAAGCAAGAGATTTACAGCCACGAACGAACGAGGTAGAAATTACGATTAGGGACTTAACTAGGGCCCAGCACGTGTTGGCTTCGATTTGATAACGAGGTTCCATATGTCATAACACAATTCAACTCACACCTAACATCTCTAAACAATCGCTCAGATGTTGATTGGAGCGCAATATTTATCAAAGTTTACTTTATTAGATCTATTATGGCCCAAAAAATGAGGGCAATAGATTGCTTCGGTATTTTCGATAATTGATCAGTTTTTGAACCTAATATAAAACTTATGTAAATTCTCCGAGATATGTGCTCCAAACCAACCCAATTAGCTCGATGATGGTCTAGAAATTATCGAACCTGGAACAGATTCAAGACACAAGTTTCAACAACTTTTTGCTCGATTGGGAGTGATAGCGAGTACTACACCCCATATTTGATGTCATATGATCAGCTGTGCGCTGTAAACAAGCGTTTGTTTTAGCTTCATTTGGTATTTCGCGCGCGGAAGAAAGGAAAAAAGCATATTGGAAGCGGTCAGTCATGCATCAACTCGATGGTGAAGCAGGCGGCAGCACCGGCAGGAGTTGGTTTCCAGGCTTTTTGAAAACGAAGTCATCACCCCCCCCCTGACTTTCACAAATTTTGCAAAGTCCTTTTTACCCTCATCGAAAACCTACCGATTTCGCAAGGTTCGGCATCAGCTGGAACCAGAGAGATCTTTAAACGAAGCCCCTCTTAATGCTGAAAGTTTGTACGAATTTCCCTTCAACCTTTACCCCTCACCCCTCCTCGTCATTAACCCTGCTGAAAAGCTCTTTTTTTAGTATCTATTACGGGTCAGAACTTTTTAAAATCAGTTTTCGCATCATGCGCCGAACGCGTTTTGCTCCATGGTCGGAGCCTGAACCTACCGGTCCAGCACTTGTCTTCTTTACTCACATCTCCCTTAATCACTTCTCAATTCTTTCCCCCTCCTCTCCCTACTTCATTCTTCTCCTCCTTTTCCACCTCTTGTATTGGTAACAGATTTGTATGTCAACAAAAGATACAAAAAGAAAAGAAGAGGTAAAAAGGCAAGCACAACCAAGCTCAGACTTAATCGCTTAGGGCCGCCTTGCGATCGGAGAAGATTGCGCCGCCAATAAAAGTTTTTGAAGGCTTTAAAAAAACCAGAAGAAAGATTATGCTCTTTTGCTCGTATGGATTTTTTAGCATGGGGTAGAATACATGCAAAAAAGCATGAAAAATTGTGAACGAAGAGCTCAGCTGGAAAAATACCAGCTGTTCCAGCTAATTCGAAAGAAATTTCAGCGCGACTTTCATTCACATAATTTTCACAGATATTTGGGCTATAATTCGAGTCCCCGCATGCGCATGCTCCACCCAAAAAAAGATATCCCCTCTGCTTTTTCTCCCACGACATCCAGCTCGACACGGTTCCAGCTGTGGCGGGCCCTGACCATAAGGACTGGACTTAGAATTCAAAAAAAGCAAGTGGGAGTGGAATGCTGTAGAGGCACAAGAGTCTGGCCTGGGGCGCGAGACAAACATGTGAAAATGCCTTTTGACTTACTTCGTGACCAAATAATCAGTGCGTAATAGAAAAATCCAAATACGTGAACTTACAGAGATACATGCTCCGTACGATCTCAAATAGTGTGGTGCCCGTTTGGAAAGACTAGTTTTGGAAAAGGTATTACCTCTTGTAAGTTTTCGAAGCTTTATACATAATGCTTCCGAAAGTAATATTCTATGCACACAATCCAAATTTGGTGCGAAATCATTGCGTTTTAGTTGTAAGCAAGTCATATTGCATTCGTATCGCGCGCTTTTTGCAAGACACGATGGAGCATGTCGATAGTGTGATAACTCGTTTCCTGAAGGTGGGTTTCTGAATGTTGGTCGTATATTTGCATAGCATGTTTCACGATATCCCTTTGCTTTTTTTAACCAAAACTTTACCAGCCGTTATCCGGTCGATTTGTGCTGGGCCCTGGCAGGAAAGCTTGTCTGAAGGTTAGGTGTGATGTTCAATATATTGCACTTCTTCCTTTTTCGCCCCAACCGAAGTTTAATTTTACATCTGTGCCAGGACCCTGGACCTAACAGGTGCAATGTAGGGGAGTAATGATATGGCAGAGAAGCAGCATTAAAGGCTAACTATTTATTTCTCTTGCTGCATTATTGTTAAAGGATCTAGAGCGAACGCATACATGTAAACATTTTGCTTAGCTGAGTTTTGCAGTTTGCTTACTGGTTGATGGAGATGATATAATTGATAGCACTGAAAAGAAAGGGAAAACTAACGTGAGCATAGCTGAGGAAGAAAATCTGTGTGTTGCTATACTGTTGAAGTCCTGGCAAACGGGGTTCTTCACCCTTCATTTCCACATATTTCTGATAGGCCTAAAATTGCGAACCATTGGATCTTGTCTCTACACTGTTTGAGCATATACGCTAGAAGTAATTACCCTGAATGCCTCCTTGACACCGCCGTTGTCAGCAATATTCTCTCCTTGAGTTAGTTTTCCATTGACCTGGAAAATGAAAAGGACATAAGAGCTGAAATGATTTGAAGATGGTTGACCTTCATGTTGATTCTGGGCACTGTGTAGTTTCCGTACTGTTCAACGATACATCGTCTTCGCTCATCAAATGACTTGAATGACTTATCACTCCACCAATTATGGAGATTGCCATTTTTGTCATATTGTGATCCTAAAATCGAAGTTTCGCCTGTTAAGGCACCTCTTCGATTTGCTAGTTACCTTGATCATCGAATCCATGTGTTATTTCATGACCTATGACAGCACCAATACCTCCATAGTTGACGGCTTTGGGGAATGATCCACTGAAGAACGGAGGTTGTAGTATTCCAGCAGGGAACGCTGAAAGCACGATTGATATAACAAATGTAAGCTGGCACTATAACAACCAAAATTCTTACTGATGGCATTCTTTTCAGGAGAATAGAATGCGTTGACGACAGCAGGCGAGACATCAAACTCGTGCCTGTCAAAGGGTTTTAGCAGTTTGCGGAACTCCTTTTTCTGTATCCACACTTCAGCCTTCTTCATAAGTGAATAGTATGTGTCTTCCGGTAGAATAACAAGCTGTAAAGGGCTTTTAACTCGAATACTTTGATCGGAGTGGAAAAAAACTAAGTTTACCTCTTCGTACTTCTCATCCAACTTTTTCAGGTCATTTGTGATGTCTGGATAACCGATGTTATTGATCATCGAATTAGCCTAAAAATGATTAAACGTTACCGTATAGCCCAAAAAAGACTTCCAAAATGTGAAAAATGGTGCTCTCTTCGTTTAGAGAAAACAAATGTAGGCTGAAGTAGTAGCAGATTAGGATTTTGGCCACTTGCAAATTGAAAGCAAAATTTTCGCTATGACAATGGAAAGTTGCTTTGATTTCAAATTATAAAAAGATAACAAGACCTTCTCAACAGCAATCTTCTTCGTTTCTTCATCCATCCAGTCATTCTGCACTACCAGATCACCGAATGATGCGCGCAGTTTCTCTATCATTTCCTGAAATTATAGGAATTTTTCAAAATCAAAAACATATCTTCTTGCAAACAGACCAAGGCTTCTCTTTTGTCGTCGGAATTGAAGTGGGCTTGTACATATATGGCTCCGGCAGCTAATGGCAGCACCTTAAGCCAGAAATGAGGATGTATAAACAAGGGGGGGGGGAAGGTTCACTTACCGAACTAGGAACTTGAGCACAGTCCTTCCATCTGGGAGATCTTTGCTGTTGACCGGTCATCACTCGCGCGAAATCCTACAACAAAGTCTCAACCCTTTACAAAACCAAGAATTGACCAGTTATGAAATTTTTTTGGTGTCTCTGCACAACCCAAAATGTGTATTAAATGAGAAACTTTTACGTTATGGATTTTCTATAGTGCCTCGAATTTGTCACAACATCAGTAAAGGTGGAAAGGTTTGGGTTTGGACAACGGCGGACCCCTAAAGAGCAGGAGGGGCGGGGAGCTTCCAAAACAGACAGAATCTAACATTGGTCACATGCGTCAAAATTAAAGATCACCTTGTTGATTTCGATGATAATAGGGTCAACCTTGTACGAAAATCTTGCATGTAGCTTGCTTGCGCCATTGTTACAGGCTCGCAAAAAATTTGAGAAGCGTCCCGAAAATTTTTTGGAGGGCGCCCCTTACGTTAGTTTGAAAATCAGTAGCCCCTCCCCCACAAATTATTTGAGAGTACTACTTGAAACCCATCTTTATATGAGCTTGATGACGAAAGACTCATCCTAATCTACTGAAAAAAGGAATTGCACATTTCGAATTTTTTGCTGTCTCGAGTAGAAAATAAATATGATTTAATATCTCCCTCACCGCTCCCCCACATCAACATCTTTTTTTCAAATTTACCTGAATCAGTGTGAACTAACTTTCAACTATTTTCCAGGAATGACATTGGCCAATGCATTTATAGGTACACATCTGGTTCGATGATACATCATAATCAGATCATTATAGCAAATGACCATATTAGGTGAGAGGACGGCCAACATGGCAGTTTTTACCAATGATCCCGAACCAGCGAGATTATGTCTTATGTGAGCAAATTTTTGAGATAGTTCGGATTCTTAGCGGAGACTAAATCACAATACTATGCTCCTATAATACAAATAGCTCGAATGCTAAATCAGATGCAGAGCAAAGAAAAAGCAATCTGACGATGAGTAAAAATCCACAAAACCAGGCCACCACCCTAAAACTGCACTTTTGGTATTGAGAATGAATAATCTGATGTTACCCATTAGTTAAGTTGGTTAACGAGCTGGAACTGTAGATTTGGTAGTAAGTAGTTTTTCACGACCAGGTAAGCAATCTGTGAGAGCCAGCATATGCCAAAGAAAAATGAGAGAGACTAAAGTTTGCAGCTGAACTCTGTTATCCACTTGAAAAAGTTTGAAGTTTTCCTAATCCCAAACGATGAAACATTAAACTCATCTTTGTATTAAACTGTGGATACAAGTATTTTCTCACGAAAGGTTGCGAAGTTTTGTGACGCATTGCCCACTTACCTGCTTTATGTTCTCAAATCTCTCGTCCAAGAACCTGACATTTGATTGCACAACTCGCCAAACAATATAGTTCGCTAGAAGTTCGTCATCAGTTCCTTTGATAAGATCAGAAGCCTGAATGCAGGGAATTCGTCACTCTTTCAGAGGTGTCAAAATCAGCCTACTTTTTTGAGGAATTCTATTTCTGCCACGATAATCTCGGTATTGTTGTCAAACATACTGACCATTTCGGATGGAGCAATTGTGCGGAAATACTTTACCCATTCAACCTAAACTTTTCTTTTTTGCTTTATTCAGAGCAGAGCAGATCAAATCTAACATCGTCCATATATGAGTAGAGATCCTCGATTTTTCTCTTGTTATAAAGTCTGGTGCTATTTCTTCTCTCATCTTCGGGCACAATTATCTAGAATGGATAAAATAAGAGAACAAAAAATTGAAAAAAGCTTCTTCCAACTTCAGCGAGCTTCTTCTCGAATGCGATGACTTCATCGATTTTACCCTCGACAGTATGGGCATTGTGAATGATTCCTGCATCTTCTTGAAGTATCTTGACTATCTAAAAGAAGAAAAGATCATTTTACAGTAAGATTCTTTTCCACAAGGATTACTACCTCTATAAAATATTTCCTGTATGCTACCATATGATTCTTGAACATCGTCGTGTTCAGATAGTAATCCCTCGAGCCCCTTCCCAACGAGAGACTCCCTTGGTCAACCTGACGAAGAGAAAATCGCCATTTACGTATTTGCTTCGTGGTGATTCTTAGAACTCACAAATAAAGTATTACGAGAGGTGTTCTTTGCGTCAGCATAGACATAGATCTGAAAAAACGGATCAGCACCATATTCTCGTCGCGACACAGCCAGCAAATCTGCAAGAACCGTCAGCAGATTAGATCAACATGTTTTTTAGATATGATTAGAGGACGTGTTATTACCTGTGAGACTAAATTCACTCCTTTTCCAAGCATCTTGCAGCAAAGGCCAAAAGCCTAACTCAGCGAGGGTGTCGAAGAGTAGACTAAAATGGGAAGAATTCCAAAAAAACTCAAGAACTTCATTCTACTAAGGTCAAGACGCGTATTTTTTTATTCCGCATCCAAGAAATTTGTGAGAAATCTCATCCATATGAAACCATTTAAAAAAGGCGGAGTAGAACGCTCATTCCCAATCATCCCCATTTCATGATTTACAGGATTAAAGTCCTTATGAGAACATAAACTAAGTTTAAAAACTAGTGCAAACGCCGTCATTGTACTTATATCTTTTGAGCCCTCGCCCACAGAAAACGAGCATCATACCCCAGGACCAAAGGACATTTACGAAAATAGCGAAAACACTAGACGTCTCGGACCTTCGCTTTTTTCTTGCAACGATTGACTAGTGGATTTCTCGGGATCGATGAACGGTCACGCCCATTATGGTGAAATAATCAATCAAAAAATCCGGGAACTTCATTTAGTAGACATTAGTTTCACCTCGTTTATCTCATATAACGTCAAGGAAAGTCCCAATGGGAAGGAAATATGTAATGAGAGGCAGACGCTTTTAATTCCCTAGTTTAGTGTATCTGGGAAAATCTGCAGACCGGGAGCAGACAAGGATTCACAAGACGGCTTATTTGGCAAATGCCGCGTAAGAAAAAATTTCTGTAACTTATTTTGTGAGAACGTTCTTTCCCGGGCACAGTGCCCCGCAGGAACAATTTTATGTGCTTGATTAATTTTACAAAACAAGTTACATATCTTATCCTTATCTAGGAGCCCTTCAAAAGTTTCTGCTTAAAGTTTCAAAATTTCCATGGACCTCTGCTGCGGAACTCATTTCAAAATTTTACATACTTTCTGAAATAGGTATGCCGCAAATTTTATTACTGCGTTCTTCAGTGACAGTCTCTGTATCCCTTACAAAAACTGTGCGCAGAGGAAGATCTCTTGATAGGATGTCAAAATTGACAGTGATTACATCCGTTTCTGATAAATGGCCCTACCTATTCCATCTAAGTAATTAAACACACCTTGTCCTTAATTCGTCCAGTTGTGTTTTGTTCATGCAAGTTTTATAGGCGATTCGAGCCATATTGATAGATTTCGACTCGGATGTTATTTCTTGTTCCAGCAAAACTAAAAAAATCATGACCAAATTACAAATTAACAATGCAACTAGCGAAAAACTGGTTTAGCGATAAATCCACGAAAATTATAAGGGGAAATTTACCCCGTAGTTGCAGTCGAACTTGCTCCCGAACATGCGAAAAAGTTCCAAAAGCTGACATATCGTCTGGAATTGGATGATCTTCATTCCATGTACCGCATGCGAACTCGTAAAAATCTTCGCAAGGGTCCACAGACTTATTCATGGCGTTGATCTGGAAAAATTTTTTATTGAAAGTGGATACGGTAGTGGGTTTTTTCAAAACAGGTACGGTGCTGGAGTTTTTTTTTACATCCCTGAAGCACATCAAAATTCACTTCAAAATTACTTCAAATAACAAGCGCAGTTCATATTTGCATTCTACTGCTTTTCATTCACATTTCATTTTTTGGTGGCTCTTCGATGTGCTACAGTAATTTCGAGATGAGAAAAATGAGTGACTTTTTTTCGTTTTTTCACTGTGAAAAGCTCGGATTCGCGAATTTTTCACTTATGAATAAATAAAAATTCTTGCTCACTATAGCATTTGCTGCTCTTACACATCCCGTTGTTGTGCAGACGGGTGGAACTGACGAAGGTGTAGATGTAACTATAGGTGTGCTTATATTTGGATAGACAGTGGGCTTTACAGGCATTCTGGCAACTGAAAAATAAATTTTCTTCTTGAAAAATTCAATCCCGCATTGAATCGCTTACATTCTTTTCTATCAAAACTCAAAATCACAGCTAGAAGGACTGCGGACAGGGCTGCGAGCAGCACAACGGCTGACATCAAGACCTTTTCCAAGAATGTTCGACCTCGCCACCATCGTGCTGTTCCCTGAAATGATCTGGGTAAAGATAGTAGCTATTGTCGTGAAATAAACTTAGGAAATTTATGTAATCACTATTTTTTATGGAAGAATTTTTGATATTCATGCACTCTTTCCGACTTGCCTTGACAGCAGTTTTTCCATCATTTTCAGGCTGGGTTTGCATTTGTCCCACGACAGCCATTGTCTGATTTACTCAGCTTTACGTTGACCTTATAAAACTGTTACTATTTTACATTACTCTAGGTGGAATTCCAAGAACAGGATAGGTACGGTAGCTACAAAGTAAACAAGCAAAACTTTAAAACAAGATAAGTGGATTAGGCAGGAAGTGCCAATCTCTACGAAGGGTTGACTCCATTTGGATCAACGAACATCCTGTTTTTAGTGCAGACTGGTAGAAATGAGGGACAAAATGGGGACGAGCATTGAGCGGATTAAAAGTTTAGTTTCCCGGGACGGAATATGCTCTCTGCGCGTCATAAGCGATACTGTTGTGTAAATTGGAAGGGCGGAACCAGAAAGAAAGAACAGATCAAGAATGTGATGGCACGATGGCGTTGGCGGCGAAGACACGAAAAAAATGTCTGTGAATTCGTCCAAATTGGTTTGCCACACAGAATTTGGCAGTGCTAATGATACAATAGGAAATTTCTGCGCGAACGTCACTCTGAAATGTTATACTCGCCAAGAAACAGGCTTGCCTTTGTGACACTTTTTTTCATTTTCCTCTAAAAAATTCTAATTAACTTCAGCAAAGTCTGGCATATATCTGATATCTGGCATATATGAGCAACAGACAAAGGACTGCCCTTAGGCATAAATTTCAAATTTTGTGACAGCACTTGCCACTTTTTTTGTTTTTCTTTTGAAATTCTCTAATTTTTTATGCTCTCATTTTTCGTAAATTTCTGAGGACAATAGTACTACGAAAGCAGTTTACAAGTTTACGCTCTTCAATAGCGTGAGCTGGTGTGCCTATTCAAAAAATTTCAAGTAACTCAAAATTGGATTATGTGTCCTCCAGTCAACTTTGAAATGAGAAAAACTTCTGAGAAAGTCAGGAAATTTTCCTTCACGAGTAAGAATCATTTTACGATTCAATATATGGATGTTCTGAAGTTAAAAGAACCAATGTGGCGACTAAAAAATGGGGTGAAAGTGGATCTGCGATAACTCTCTTGCCCAGGAACTTCCCCTTTCAACAATCGTTTTTAAAGCTGCTTTTTACTTATTCAGTAGAAGAACTGATCAGATCTCTCTTTTTTTTCTGTAAAAATACAGTAAGAACTATTAATATGATGAGTTCCTGCTGGTTAGCTGACATTCTTCAAAAGAACCTACAGGACCGCCAAGAAGTTGCGGGCAAGTCGCCCTCCTTTTTCATCGCTCATTTTCTGACAACAAAGATGAAAAAATGATTGGATTGCTTGTAGCGATAGAGCTCATTAAGAGCTACAACCTGCACACTGCCCTTTCTGGAGAACATGTATTATAAAAATTTTTAAAAATATCTTTCTAAAAAAGGTCCGAAAATGCACAGAACGATTGTAGCTCGAGTAATCTTCTTCCTCCATTTTTGTTGTTTTTGTTGCCAACGTATAACAGAAAGATTTCAAGGTGATATTGCAATGGAAATGACTTTTTCTTTCTAACTAAAGCGATGCCAAGCAAAATCATTAACACAAGAAGAAATTAGGATTTTTTAAAATAATAGGAACAGCTGTCTGTTTAATCTAGCAAGTGCAAGAGCGTATAAAAAATAATGCAAATTATCAAACAAATGGATAGCTTCAGTTTGATAAGGCTGAAAGGCCTCCCATGCAATTATATTTCAGAAAAAGGAAGTGCAATTGTCTGAAACCTGTTCATGGCTCAGTTCTTACTATCTAGACAGTGCTACATATCAGTAGAAAAAGTTAAAAAGCAGAACCTTCTCAGTCTTTCGCATGACATCGCGCAGCAGTACGCGACAATACCGTTTTATGAAAACCAGGGAATTGTAAGGGTCCTTTTCAGCTCCGACATATCTAACCGTTGCTTTAAAGGGTCCGTGTATTTGCTCCATTATTGTCAGAAAAATATTTGGTTTTTCTTCAAGAAAATGTGAGGAAAAGCGGACAAAGTTTATTTTTGTACTACCTCATTTTTTCGGATATCAAAACGCATCAACTTCCTAAATAGATGGCACACTTTGCACGATGAGGAAAGCGTTTCAGAACGGTACAGCCGAAATTTCGTGAACTAGAAACGAGGCGAGAACATAAGTGAGCGAGTTAAGAAATGAAACGCGTAATTTTCGAACATCTACTAGGAGCTAAAAATTGAAATTTGGTGTCTAATGCTTTGAATTATGCTTTTGAACTGGGACCAGAGTTGAACAGGTGCGAAAAACAAAGTGAGCGATGAATTTCCAATACAGCCACACAACAATCGTTTACGAGCGCGAATACATCGAGTCGTTCTATTGAGTTTGATCCTCTTAATAATACATGTAACATTGCAACTTTCGTTCTCTTCATATTAATGAACATCTATCCTCTGGTCTAAATATTGAATCCCGATAAAGTTCTAGGGCATTTCGAAGTGTGATACAAAAAGCAGCTTTTTGACAGCGAACTGGTTTGCACTTAATCTGAGCGAGTACTTTTCTGCATAGAACTTTTCTATCGATGCAGCCCGACAAAAAAATGTCTCCATTAATATTCTTGCTGGGGTGACATTGCAAAGAGTACTGGGCATTAGATGTGGGAAAACTCATATAACTGATATTCAACTAAAATTAATGAAAAACTTGTAAGAATTTTGTCCGGATTATAATAGAGTAAGTAAATCAACGAAAAGCTCACTTACTGATTGTTTCCTTTGAAAGAGTATGGTAAATTATTTTTGGATTTTCGAGTACTTGATGATTTTTTGTTCAAAGTTTTTGTTAAAAAAAACTAACTTTAAGAAGACTAATAATAAGTAACTTCCTTCGATTATAATAGATTATTACAATTAACATCCAACAGTAATAATAGGAAATTATGCAAATTTTTTATTTACTTATTACAAACTTTTATCTCGTTCCTGTCTTTAGATAGAGTATTAAAAGTACTCTTTGATTCATCTGGCTTGGCGGCTGGAAGGCGGGGCTTCTTGACCTAATTAAGCTAGGTAATGATCAGAGAGCACGCGCGCGGGAGAGACGTAGACTGTGTCGTGAGCGCGAGCGGCCTTAGTTAGGTCACAAAGCCCCGCCATACAGCTGCCAAGGCAGTTCAATCAAAGGTTATTTACAGACTTTCCCCGGAACTCCTCAGTAAGGAAGGAAGGTCTGAAAAATTTATTTTCCAAGTGCTTAGAGATAATACTCTAAAGCAAAAAAGTGTGAAGCTTGTAAATTGCCGAAAAAGTTCAAGGTTACTGGAAATTGAGTAAATAAAAGAATACAAACTACCAAATTAGATTAAAACCATAAAAGATATAAACCAAGAAATTTGATGCAGATTGGCGACACTTTTTTGAATTTTGAAAAGACAAAATTATGTGTAATGAAAACATACAGGTAATTTCACATGCATATTTATAGAACAGAGCGTTTTCAAACCATGACAGAAACTAAGTATTGAGTAGCGAATTGGCGTTAATAAAGATTATTATTAATCCTTAATCTTTATTTGGTCGCATATTGACCAAATAAGAGCAATGCTCCACTCATTGAACACTTTTAGGTAATATTTTAGAGTGTTTTACATTAAGTGCACTTCGACCATTAGCGAGATCAGATGGTCTCTCATATACTCCTCCCTCGAAAGAAATAGCCCTGCATTAAGTTCCCTTAAAGCTCCATGGTAGTGTGTTTTTATGTTAGTTTGAGAATTTTTTACTCAGAACAAGTGCAAGTATAAGAACCCACAATCCCTTGCACAAATAGATTACGATTTTCTCAACGGAAGAAATTGTACAACAACTTGCGAGTGAAACATCTGGGCAGCTTACAACCTCAAAAAAGATGTTAGATGGTGTGCGTACACAGAAATGCACTTAACTCCGTGTACATGTGTAGTGTATTATGAAAGCTGAAAAGAGCAACATATGGGTTGTTTCATTTCAAAAAAAAAATCCAGGTGTATTTTGGGTTTTGCACCTTCTACAGGCGCTCTTTGAAGCTCTGCATCCAAACGAACTGAGACAAAGCTGAGTTTCAATATGCTAAATTCCAAGAGTTGATCGATCGGCGATTGAGCGCGAGATCATGGAGGCGCACTATTTCTATCCTCAAAACATTGTGGTCCAAACACCTCGCTTTCGTACGTCTGAGACTTCAGAGTGGGGCGGGGTTAGCCGCATGGAGAGAATGACCCTATTGAGACAATGAAAAAACACCTCAAATTCACAGCATATGGGCGACAGGATAATCCCGCGTGGACATCTGTTACAAACCTTTCACCTCCAGAGATTACAGCTCGTACTAGCCATCGCGAAGCCGGAGCTTATTCCCTGCCAAACTTATGCGCGATCATTCAGGACCCACGTCTTGAATGCAGATAGATAGGAGGGAAGCAAAGTACCAGCCCCACAAAATAGGTTCTTTCGTCGTCATAGGCTATCTTCCCATTCACACAATATACAACCGTGGAACAGCGAGAGAAGCTTTGAAATGCAGGGGTCCGTTAAGCAGATGTCTCCCATAAGTTGGCAACGAGGAAGTGTAGGAACACTGACTGACGAAAATCCCACAAATTCTAAGCAAAATTTTGAGATACCTTGTTGATTTATGATGTGTGTTGAGGTACAAAATACGGAAATGAACTTATTTCTGAGATATAAAATCTTCAAGATTTGGCCTTATGCTAATCGTTTTATAACAAAAAAAAATATTATCACAGAATTATCGCATAAAATTACAAATGAGTCTCTCAGTTGGGTGCAAATACACTCACAATGACGAGAATTGTTGAAAGTTTCTACCGTGATCCTACATTAACAAGGAGAGGTCAGTGATTTTTTCCATACTACAGAT